GCGATATGAGACTGTGAGATACCCAGGGTGGGATGTCTCCGTTCCTGCCCAGGATGTGTGCTTGCAGGAAGAGGAGGAAAGAAAAGCAGACTTAAAGGCAGAAGCCCCAGAAACTCTCATCCTTGACCAGCGACAGAAAGGAAAGTAGGGCCTGCAGCATAGGGCTGCAGAACAGGCCTTGGGGGTCATTTTCTCCTCTCTGGCCTCATTCCTTAAGTCAGCGAGTGACAGACTCCTGCAGTTTTGAGCCTCACTCAACTTGTACGAGCAACTTCTCCCTCCTGGCTGAGGAACTGTGGCAAGGATGCAAGAAAGTTGTCATGCCCAGACAACAGAAACCTCACACTGGGGATGTTGCAAGGCTACCCACCTTCACTGGTAAGAAAGTACATACACTTTCTAAGTTCATAGGAACCAGGAAAGATACATCCCACAACTCAGTTTCAAGCCCTGTTTTTTGTCTTTATTCCAGTTGGCCAAGAGCAGAGCCCTTCCATATGCTTCTGCTATGCTCAGCCAGGACACACCTTCTCTCTCCAGTCTGTTGACACAATCGGAGTACCAGAGCTGGGTGTAGATGGCAGTCTGGTGCTATCAGAAACAAATACTAGGAACTGTATTATTATAAAGCACTAACTGCCCAAGTCTGGTTGGAGGACAAAAACCACAACTAATGATAGGGACCAGATAGTCCCGGGTCTAAAATACAAAATACTTGTTTACTGAATAATTATGAAACCAAAAGGAGGGCTGCTATTATATTACTCACCTAGTCACTGCAAAACAAAGTGAAAAATTAGTCTAAGCTTTTTATTTCCAAAGGATCAGCTTTCGTAAACTAAGGGAGATAACTAGTGAGATCAAGTGGTCTGACACACTCATGACCTGTAAGTCAGAAGTTACAGAGGAGTTGCAGGTTTGGAAACAGGTCAGTCAGGGACAAAGAAGTAGCATAGTGTAGAGATTCAGTATAAAATGATTCTAAAATAGAAAAATCTATTTCAGACTTTTCTGACTTTAGGATAAAGACCTAACTTAACCAGACTATAAATATAAAATAAAATCTCTTCCTAAAACAGCTGGCTGACTGTCTTTAACAGAATTGAAGCATACCTTTGAAAGATCCCTGAAGTTGCCTGGAAGGGTCAGGTCTAATTCTTCAGATTCATAGTTTGTTAAAACCCACGGAAATACAGGGTATTGGTTCAGATCATTATATGTTCGTCCTATTAAGAAAGAAAGTGTTTTAAGAATTAGGAAACAGTGTCCACTTCTCCAGCTGAAAAACAATCTAGCGGTTACTTTTGTTGCATCACATGTTCCCAGTTCCCACCACTTGACAGAATCAGCTATAAATCTTCCAGACAAAAGCAGCCATTTAGATGCACTTATCTTGAATCAGAAGTCAACGCAGAAATCAGCATAATATAAAGAGCACAGTATCTTTTATAATCAACTAAAACCCACCAAATGCCAATAAACACTTTCTTCTTTATTTCCATGAAGCTATTTTCATAGCATGAATGTTGAAATTTAAAACCACTAGACTATTATTTTCCTAGCAACTGTACGCAGTATCATTAACTGGCAAAGATTAAATAAGAGTCCAACAGCAAGGGACTAAATTTGAAAGTTGCAAGTCTAGGTCTACCCTAGATAGACCCTATTAATGCATTACTCCCCATGGCTCTTCTTCACTGAAGAATTGGCGAAATTTCACTACAACAGTGGAATCAAAGTAGAGGAATTAATGTTTGCTTTAACACTATTTCATAACCACTTTGAGAATTAAAAACCATTTTCTCCCCCCAAAAGACAGAGCTGACTGCCCCAGGCCACTCTCTCCAAACATAATGAAAGAAACGTTGCTACCATCCCAGCAGCTCAAAAATGCAAACCCCATTTTTAGATACAGTTTCAAAAGAACAATCTGCAACTGAAGTGAGCTGAAAATTATGAATTCATCAACAGGAAAAGTGTGTTTGGGAAACACTGTTATTTCTGTGTCAGCTGGTATTTGGTAGTATCTAACATTTCAGTGATAAGGCAAATGAAGTTGCTCAGTAAAGAACCATCCACCATATTGATTTACTGAGAACCACACAATATGCAACATGAGTCTTAAAAAACAAAATCAGGTCATAAATATATGTGTGTGTGTATTTATATAATATAATTAGCAGACTGAAATAACCCAGGTTAACAATTCCCAGTCCTGCAGCAGATTTACAGCCCTGTCTCACTAACTGCTTCCTTCCAGATTCTGGACAGATTCCTGGGGTACAAAGCCCAGCACAGGAAAACACAGCCTTCCTTGTTCTGAGTAGCATTTGCAATTCTCCACAAAAATCAGTTCTGCTTTAATGAAATGTGAAACTTTCACTGCTCTACAAACACCTTGTTTTTTCAATATAAGTTGATGAACAAGAAGTATGTTTCTATTTTGTACATAGTTTCATTGAAAACAGGAAAAGTGCATATTGCTAACAACTGTGTGTCCTCATTTTTACATTTTGAACACATACATGCTCACAAGAATATAAAAAAATAATTTAGGTACAAATACAATTTTGTTAAAAATGCAATACTAGCACTGTGTGCCACACACAAATAAAGATGGATAGAAACAAAAACACTTCTTCTTTAATATCAATGATGAATTAATATAAAAACATTCTTGGACAGAATGAGAATTTATCAAACAAATCAAGAAATGCACCAGAATTTATCTGTGTGAGGCAGGAAAAGGAAAGGTACTCTCTGGCAGAATATTAATTGGTTTAGTTTTTTTTGGGGGGGGGATTCTATATGTCTTGAAGTAAGACAAATCTGTCTCATTTTCCACATCTGTCAAATCAGAGTATTATTTTCCTCTTCGGCAAGGGATTAATGACATGTGATTTGTAAAGTTTCTTGAGATTGTAAAATTTAAGCTTCTACAAAATATGGCCTTTATAAACTATATCTTTATACAATAAATGTTTTTCTCACCATTAGAATCCTCAATTAAGTTAACAGAAGAGTGTGTGAAAGCTTCCACAAAAGACAGACATTTGTGCTTATGTAGACAGCGGACTAAAAGAAATTTGAGATTCAGGAAAAGAATGACCAAGGCGACTGTAGTCTATTACAAAGCATAAGCAAAAATGATGATTCTTCAGAAACAAGAGTTTTATGGAAAAGAGTTCACAGTAATAAAGACCTTCAGCTGAAAACACTTTATAAAAACATCTGGAAGGTAAGAACATCTTTTTGCAAAATTTTGAAAGGAAATTTAGGGTTTTCCAAAATTACTTTTTATTTCAAAATTGAGATTTTGCATATTGAGGTTTTATTTAATTTTTATATTAATTTCATTTCACTTTCAATATTCAGTCAACAAGATTTTGACATTTTGTTCCTATTCCACATGGGAAAATCATTAATATGTGAATAGAGCAAGAAAAAAGCAATCCCAGCCTGAGCTGTACATGAGTTCTCCTTTGCTGTGTGGTTTTGAGAGGTTACATATAGTACGGACACATGAACAAATTATCATGTGGAATTACTTCCAAGTCAGGACACTGCAGTAACTCTTGTGTGCATTTTTTTACCCCACAATGAGTAATAATTTGAAGCAACTTATCTCTCAGCTTAGGTAGGATAAGTTACAAACAATGGACCCTTAGTGATTATGTATTTGATAAATATAACCACAGTCTTGTGAAAAAATAAACAAAATATATACTTCTCTCCTACTTCAATATTTATAAAACACACTTTATTTATGAAGGTATTAACTACTAAGAATAGCTAATAATTTGTTTAGTAAAAAAGTTAGTGATTTATTTTTCTGAATTCAGTGATTTTCTGTTTAATATCAACAAATAAAAATGACTTGAGAAGATGGACCATAATTTAAATTGTGGAAGGAGACCAAGCCTACATGATGAGATAAGACCACACATCTATGCTTATCTGAGTGGAGGACAGTGATCTAGGCCTATAATGGGATTACAAATCCCTAATTCTAAACATGCATAAATATTAGTGGTTTAACTTTATTAGGAATGCTTTCTGGATCAGTTCTGGCTTCACAATGATTATTTTCACAGTAAAGTCAGCAGATGAATATATTTAGCCATATCATCAATTGTCTGGTGTTTCCAGCAAGAATTATTTGGTTCTTTCTTTAGCTAAATAAATCTAAAACATAAACCTGTACTGCTATTGGTAGTCCCTATACCTTTTCAGAAGCTTCAGATTTTCCCCCAAGTAGGCTTACAGAGATTAATATTAAAGGCTGAATATTAAATATTGCAAGCCTATGACACTAATCTACTTGAACAATAAAACTGAGGCATAGTAAATGAGATCTCAGAAATACTGGATATGTTTCTTCATTAAAAAAACCTTTTTAATTAAACCATCCAATTTAATGTTTTTATATGGCACTTCAGTTTTGAAGGTAAAGTGAGCTAGAGACAGCTGACAAAGAAATTATAACTGCAATTCCTTGGTGAAAATGTTAATGACAGCAAAATATTGTTTAATTAGATGATTGCAGCATCTGGATTAACACTCTTTAAGAGCGATGTTCCTGTGCTTGTCTGCTTCTTCACACTTTACAGACATTTTGTCATCTCTAGGTCATTAGGAAAGAATTTTTAATGATTTTTCTAGAAGCAAGTAGTTCGAGTTACATCTAATTAGATGACAATAATAAGCCCAACACATGCAGTAGCTAAATATATACATAATTAACCAGTGAGGGCTTGTACATCACAGAGTAAAAAAGTGGAAAATGCTAAACAGGCAAAAAAAAAGAGGGAGGGGGAAGAAGTTTGTCTGAATTTATTACCTGACTGAAGATGTCATTTTTTTCCACAAACCTTTAAAAATAATCCCTTTCCACTACAAGAAAGGACTTACAGAAATTATGGATATAATTATTCTCCACTTCTTTTAAAAGCTGTGGCAGGTAGGATTTTAAAAAAAATTAAAATTCCAATAAATAAAAATGCAAACACACATTTAATATACTGCAATATGAAAAGAAAAAAAACCAGCAGAAATCAGTTAAATACTGAGAAACAGATTTGAAAACTAGCCTTCTAACTAATAGTGGGCACTGCAACCATACTACAAAACGACTTCTTGTTCCCACTCCTCTTGATTCCTTTTACTGTGGTGGGATTACTTTTAAGTAATTTTTTCAATAGTCTTGTAACTGAGAATAGTAAAAATTAATTGTTCCCTATATCACCCAGAGGGTTCAGTTGACATACATGCTGATCACATGCTATATGGCCTTTTCCTATGCGCTCAAAGAAAGGACAATTAGTATAATCATAGCTGCTTCCAAGCCTTCAAAGCAAAAGAATCCCTGAGAAGGGAATAGGTAGGAGGAGGGGGAAGGTGGCCAGGAAGGCTTATGTCTACACATCCAGGACAAAAACCAGGGGCACTGAGAGTATAACACCGAGACTGATTGATAAGTAGCAGAGTGCAGTGTTTACCTTTGGGAGAAAAATGCAGAGCTGTAAACATGATGAAATATGCTCAAGTCAGAAAAGAGGGCAAGAAAGAGGTGAAGACCTTGGAAACAGAATAGGGAGGTGAGAAAATCATTGGCTAGAGGGCCAGAGAAACAGGTTGAAACAAGACTTTAGAGAGTTCTGAAAATGAAGAGCGATTTTGAATTGAAATTGCAATGAATCATCGGCCAGCGCAAGTGATGGCAATCATATATCCTTGGATGGGAAATGATCTAGAAAGAGAGAACGACGATAGCTGAAGTAGACAGTTATTAAGTCATGAGTACAGATCACAACAGAAACAGTTAAACTAAAAATGAAGTCAGACACTGTTTAGAGGTGGCAACAGGGTGATACAAAGATTGCCAAAAAGAGTCATAGAAAGACGGATTTTTTCCAAGGGGACACTTCAGTATTTCAAACATTGATTAAGAACTTATAGAATAGCCAGGGGCCGTGCTTGTCAGGACAGACATATTGGCAAATCAGGGAGAGATTTAAGGAGAGATTCGTATATTTATTTCAGTGGTTCTGTTCTACAGAGACCAACCAGTCTGTGTAATTAACAGTATTAACAAGCAGGCAAAGGACTTCTTGTGGGAAAGGGCCCCGTTGCATGTCACAAATGGAAGAAATCAGTTGGTGTCCGAAGCCTCACATCTGAATGCCGCTCTTC